CTTTAATCAGGACAAGTTCAGGTGTGCAGGAAACCAGTTGTACTTTCAATTGCTTCACATGTATATGGAAGTTGGGCAATACCTAAAGAAGATTGAAAAAGAACTGCTCTCTCTATTATAAAGTATGGTGTTTGTGGTAAGTGTTAAATATACAATGGACTGTCAGGAGTGTTGATGGCATAGCGGGCTGTGAGTTGAGCTGCTTGCTTTGAACTTATCAGCAGTTCTGGAGGAGAAAGATGAAACAATCTGCTTCCATTAAGGCTTACTGGGGGGCGGAAATTGAAGCAAGAGTGGCATTCACTTTCTAAACACGTCCCCAGGAACTCTATCTACAAACTTTTAAAAAAAAACGTCAATAGTTATAGAAAGATATCCCAGAGGTGCACAGTTCGAATCCACCAGATGCTCTGCTGGAGAAGGAGGAACAATCTCCTCCTGTACCAGTCAGATCTTATTTGACTGTACAAAGTAATAAAAAAAAATTTAAAAAAAAAAAGCAGTAAGTTATAGAAAGGCCTTTTGTTCATAGGGTCGCTATGAGTCATGCTTGACTCAATGGCAATCAATAAAACAACTTAAAATAAAAATTTACCACCTCAAACTTGATGAGCCAACTTGCCTCTGTCCTACAGGGTCTCTATCAACTTAACAGTGAGTGATGGAGTGCCAGGAGAACAAGTATGTCTTGAAAGTAGTCAGAATGCTCCTTTGAAGTGAAGGTGGCAAAACTTTCCACATATGTTATCAGGGTGGATTATGTAATCAGGTGGATTAGAGAAGGAAATCGTGCTTGGTAAAGTAGACCAACGAAAAAGCACCTCAGTGATACAAACTTGAGACAGTGGCTGCAACAATGGGCTCCAACACAGTAATGATTGTGAGGATGGTGCAGGACCGGGCAGTATGAGAACTGAAATGACAGCAAGTAAAAACGATTCCAAGCTTAGAGACCTTGGTGATTCAGTGGTAGAGTTCCTGCCTTCCATGCAGGAGACCTGGGTCAGATTCCTGGCCAGTGTATACCCCAAGCACAGCCATCGGTCATCCACCAGAAGAGATTAGTGTGTTGATTTTCTTGTGTTTATGCAGTACTCACAGACCATGGGAAACTAGAAAGGCAGGCCTGGTGATCTACTTCTGAAAGTCAAGTGTGACCCAAATCTGCAACTGATCATGGGACAGTCCAGGACCAGCAGATTTTCATCCCATTGTGTATGATAAGGAGGCTGGGTCAATCTGATGAACTAAGAAATTCAGACTCATTGCCATTGAGTCAGGACTCACAGATGACCCTCTATTGGGTTTCCAAGGCTGTAAGTTGTACAGATGATTCTCGATCTTTCTCCGTTTGAAGCAACTAGTGTATCTGAACCACCTAAAGGGCAGCAGTGCAACTCTCTACAGACCACGACATCCAAATTCCCCGATAGTAAAAGCAGATTCTGTATATATACAATGAGAATTTAAGACTTGGACAAGAGATGACATTCAGTGCAATTTATAAGATAAAAATCAAGACTCATACATTTAATATCTCAAAGGTTTTATTTAACACTTCACTAATAAAAGAAAAACTAGGACAGTAAGATTCCATGTACAGTGATTTATATTCACTAAGAAGTGCTTCTGGAGTCAAGGACGGTACATACTCTGGACATTAGAGAGGTCAGTCCCTGGAGGGGATATCATGCTTGAAGAGTCAGCAAAGGAGAGTAGCTCCCAATCAAATGGTTTGACAGTGACTCTAACAGTGGGCTTAAGTAGGGCAGAGATTGTCAGAAGTTGTTCAGGGTTTGATTTACTGTACACAGGGTCACTGCATTCACACTTGATGGCACCTAACAGAGTCCCTGTGTGGCACAAAAGGTTAACATACTTGGCTGCTAATCAAAAGGTTGGCAGTTCAAGTTTACCCAAAGGTATCTTGGAAGAAAGGCCTGGTGACCTTTGAAAACCAGCCATTGAAGATCCCATGGAGTGTAGTTCTAGGCACACACATTGGGTTGCCATGAACTAGAATCAACTGATTTCATGTGAGGTATCAAGTAGCAGAATTCAGATGGAATGCTATAAACAGCAACTATTTGATTAGCTGTGGAAAACAAGTATCTGTAGAATCATCCACTTTCTACAACTTCATTCTCCAAATAGTCTAGTCAGTCAAAGGAGCAGCAAACTCCTGACAGGCCTGTTAGGTAAGCCCAACACCCCAATGAAAGGACATTCAATTTTTGGAGCCCATTTTAGTCTTTCTTGAGAAATTTTTTAGATAAAACAAAAGCCTAGTCAAAAGTCAGGAATGTGAAGAAAAACTCAAACTAGCATAAGACCCTCCTCAATTGGCAACCAACCAATTGCCCTAGTACAGTGGAAAAGGATTCAGTCAAAATATCATAGAATCAAAGCCATTCAACCTCAATTTACTTGCATTTACACATTAAAAGCTAACAAATTTACGGTATGTGCTGTTGTTGCCTACGACTCATAGAGACCCTATGTACAACAGCTCTGAACCCTGCTCTATCTTGAGCCATGGTGTCTCTGACATACCTACCCCCATCATTGCTATTTAAAAATCTGACAATGAGGGGAGCTCTGGTGGCCCAGTGGCAAGAAGCTGTACTGCAATCCCAGAGGTACACGGTTCAAATCCACCAGATGCTCTGCCAGAGAAGGAGGGACGATTTCCTCCTGTACCTGTCAGATCTGATTTGACGGTACATGCACAAAAAAATAAAAAAATTTAAAAAAAAAAAAGAAAAATCTGACAATGTTCTTGGGGAAATTAGCATCATCTTTTAAAATGACATGCTGACCTTTGAGGACTACTTCCAAAGTTATGTGCCTTCAAGCTGGAACTGCATCTCCAGCAGATTTTCAGAGGCTTCAAATCAGAGGCTTCAAATCACAAAATTGCCCCTCTTCCTCCCATGGAGCTGCTGGTGGCTTCAAACCTTGTGCTTTAGAGCTGGCAGTGTAACCACTAGGCCACCAGGCCTCACTTACTCCACCATAGTTAAGTGTCATACTTGTTAAGCACAACTCACAGTGACCCTATGAACAACAGATCTGAACTATCTTATTCTGCACCATGGGGCTCATCCTCAATGCATATGAGTTCGTTGCCGCAAACACCGTATCAATCCATCTTATTGAGGGTTTCCTTCTCCGTCAGCCTAATGCACGGTGTTTTATTAACCAAAAGGTAGAGGCCCTGACCGCCTAGAGGGCAGTGAGGGTGAAGTTCTCCCACCAGATCTGGCTTTGTCCAATTTCCATGGTATAGAAGACAAGTTCCAGAAACTTTACAGATTTCTGATGCAACATTCAACAAACTACATCTAACCTTCAAGAGAACTTTAACACCCCGAAGATAATGATCCAGTCTTCTCCTGGGCCACTGAGGAAGCTGTTTTTGGCTCAGAGCCCTACAGGACAGCTAGAAGCTCGACCCCACTACATAAACCTTGAAAACTTAGTATCAGAATGTGTACATCTTATAATTACAATTCAGAAGTTAACACAATTAAGTTGTTAACTACACACTTTAACTGTCAAAACACGAGGACACTCCACAAGAGAAATGGAATTGTTTTTTAAACAGTGAGAATTAACTAAAGTTAGATATACAACGAAGCCTAGCAAGAAAGTATAAATAGCTGCATCATATTTGATAGGCATAAGCTATAGATATAGTTATCATCAATTTGTACTGCAAATTCTTTATTTAGCCAAGAGGTGGGAATAGAGAAAAAAAAAAACCCAAAAAACAAAACAAAACCCAACATCCAAAAACCATCCCCAGCAAATCACCAGAAAATTATTTCATTCAGAGAACAGATCAGCTTATGGACCCAGGATTTGTCAACAGCAAACTGTATCTTCTATCAACACAAAGAAATAAATCCCAGTCTATCTGACCATCTTCTCATAAATAACCTAGTTTTGATGGAAAACCAGCTTAAAGTCTGAACAAGATTACCAATTCTACATTTTACTCCCCCCCCCTTCTGTGTACTGTTGAATCGGATCTAACCGGCACAGGAGGACACTGCCCCTCTTTATTGAGCAGAGCATCTGGTGAATTCAAACTGCATGCCTTTAGGATTGCAGTGTTCATTAGCTTTTGATATACAAAAATATTAACATGACAATTTAACCCATGGATCCAAAAGGCAACATATCCTCCAACATAAAAATTAAAGCTTGAATTCTGACATTCACTTTACTGAAATCCTGCATCTCTGAAAGCATGCCTCACTCTGCTTTTTGCAGGTGAACAGGTTCTGATACTATAGTCAATCTGTCATATTCCCAGGAATTTGGGAAACAGTTCAAATTTCGTGAAAGGTCAAGGACGTAGAAAGCACATCTGAAAACCATCCTTTTATTAAAAATTCTTCCAGGCCTACCCTAGACTTCACCTACGAGCGCATGCTATGTGGGCGAGGAGTGATTTGAACAAAGCGAGGAAAGCTTCCAAAGGTAAGAACTCTCTCGCTGAGTTCTCTCAATTTTCCTCACAATGTCTGCTACCTCGGATTGCTGGCCAAGGTATGTGTTTCTCCTGAGAGAACACATTTCTCGCTGCTTCTCATGCAGTGAGCCTGCACAAATGAAGGGAAGAGCAGACACCAAGTTTAATGCAGGCAAATAAACTGTCCAATCACAAGCTTTCAAAGGAAACCTGGAGATTTGGCATATCAATAATATATGCAGAAACAAATGCACTTTAATAAAAAACCAAAACCAAATAATATACATCCAGACAGAAGCAATGCATATTCTCCTTATTCATTTGGCAAATATAAAGAGAAACAATGAAAAGTAGGTTTTATGTCAGCACAGGTCCTTGTACGCAAGGGCATGCTTCAGAAATACCTGTGGTGGTTTTTCAGTTTGGGCCTTGGTATGGGAAAATATTTGTCAGGATCTGGTCTGAGTTTTTTTTTAAGCTCCACATATCTGTGGTGTTTCCTCTGGCTGAGCCAGTGCTTTTAGGTAGACTGCGGTGCTTTGGGTTTTTTAGGCCGTTGTTTAGCGGTCTGGGGCATTTTCCGGGCGGACTTGCTTGAAGTGGCGAAGAACTTGGGCTCGGGCTTTTTCGGAGTTTGTCTCGGGTCTTTCTTCCCCAGGGCGGGATTCCGCTCTTTCTCTGCCTCTTCTTTGACTCTCGGCTTCTTCTCTGGGCTTTTCTCTGGGGTCCCTGGCTCTGCAAGTTTAGGGGTCTCTGGAGCTGGTGAGGCCTTTCTCTTCTTCCCACGAGGGGTGCTAGGAGCAGGAGTCTTCTGTGGAGACTTCTGCACTGCAGCAGCTTTTTGCTTCTAGGGAAAAGAAGAATGTTAAGTGACAATGCTTTTATCAAGTAACACACATTCCACTACCTCCTGCCCTGAGATGACACCTTGCTGTATACCACTAAGTCAGAACCCTCCAGTTGGTCTTCAGAGGCAGTAAATCACATGGGAAGCGAATGTCCATCCTCCTCCTGTGGAGCAGCTGGTGGATGTGAACCATATGCCTTTGAGATTTCAGCAGTTTACCAGAGCTCAAAAAACACCTTAGTGTCATAAATGAAGAATGACTATGGATTTTCCTTGTGCATGTTATAAATAGTAACAAATTCATTATTAACAACTGTAAAAAGGACCCAGATGCACTGGCCCAACTGAAGGAAAACCACTCTCCCCTGTGGCTGAAAGGGGCTGTGATGGCTTTTGCTGCTACCAAGATTTACAGTCTTGGAAACCACAGGAGGCTCTGTAAAGGCTCACAATGAGTTGGAACTGACTCAAAGACAATGCGTTTTCACCCAAGACAGCTCTGCCCAGAGGGGGCTCACTGAATCTCCTCTGAATAACGGGGTGAATCCAATCCCCTATGTCTCTCCGAAACCCATTTCCTCCCCTTTAAATGTCAAGAGATATCTCCCTAGTAGTTGACTGTTGTTGACTGCCTTCAAGTCGAGCATGACTCACAGCAACCCTATGAACAAAAGGCCTGAAGCCCCTATCGATATTTATATTTATTCAGAGTTTCCGGATGGATGTATTTTATTAGAAAGTGGAAGCCACTTCTGCTTCCAAAGTAGGTGACTGGTACAATTAAAACATTATTAATTTAAAACAAACAACTTGGCTTCTTTAAAGGAACCCAGAACCCTATGAAGGTAGAAGTCTGTAGGAGCCAAGTCTCTAAAGGGACAGAGGTTTTGGGATGACGACCTAAGCTTGCTCATCAAGTTCTCCAAGACTATGATGTACTAACCCAGGACTTAACTTCAGAAACAGAACCATCTGCCAATATTTCTACCCTGGCCTTTTTTTTTTTAAAAAAAACAAAACAAAACAAAAAAAACCCCAAAAAAACGAAACACAAAACAAAAAACCAAAAGGCAATGTTCTTTAGAAATATAAAGAGTCGAGTCTCTGGTCTCCAAGATACAGAAAAGGATGTGTTACTAACACAGCTTTCTGAGAATTTCCACATCTCAAATAAAAGTGAATTCAGTCATGGTGACTATCATCGTTTTGGAGTTCTTATCTCTTACATGATAATCTTTGGGAGAACATATGACTATGCATAAGTCGACAATGATTCTCTATATGTGTGTGTGTGTCCCATTCCTGTAACTATTCTTACACACACACACACGACCACTGAATCAGTCCATTAACAATATCAAGCAGTAATATAAATACCTCTGCCTTTTTTCCCTTAGCAGGTGTTTTTTTAATCGGCACCAGCAATGGGATCTCTTCTTCAGATTCCTCTGCTTTCAGCTGGGCTTTCACACTGTGGCTCTCTTCTTTCTCTCCAGTGGTCTCTCCCTTCTGGGGCTCGGGGGTCTTGGTCTCTCCCTTCTGGGGCTCGGGGGTCTTCACTGGAACCCCACTGGCTTTGGCAGCTCCTTGCTCTTCAGCAGAGGCCTTATTTTTAGCCTTTGCCTGTTGCTTTTCTCTTTTCCTCCTTTTCTTCTCCTTCTTTTTCAGGATCCTTTCTTTCAGTTTTTGCTTGTCCATCTACCAAAAACGGAGAAACAAAAAACCTTCAACATACACAATGTTAGCAGGGACCACGTTCTGGTGGCAATTTAATTCAAACAGAAAAGCCAGCACTCCACCAATGCCATTAACAGGGTTTGCCAACCTTCTTTTAACACATCAATTTTTTTTAAAAATTAAATTCAGAAGCCTGCAGACGCTTGTAGCAGATTATTCACGAGCTTCCTTTGGCACACCTCATAAGCTCTGAGGGAACAAGCAGCACTTGAATCTCAATTTCCCTTGACTGTATTGACTCAGGGCCAGAGAGCTAGCTATTTTATGACAAACACCACACAGATTCTGTGTTACCAGAGTTACATGATTTAAAAAAGAAATTACGTGGTTACAGATTCATAAAAGTCCATCTCACCAGGAGGCAACTTAAGGATTGTTCTGACTGTACGGTATGTGAATTTTATTTCGATAAAGTTAACTAAAATAAAAGCAATTTTTTTCTAAAGGCTGGGAGGGATTAAGGAAGAATCGGAACACTTTTTTTTCTCTAGTTTGGATTTTGGTTGAAAGAAGCCTATTATCAGCATAATTTTATGATATTTTTAAGTGTGTCCAAATTCCATTTTCATCTAGAAAATCCGCAACTTAATTTGGTGACCAATGGGGGGGAAGGGGGCAGAAATCAAAACTAATGAAAACAAGTTAAAAATCAGGATAAAATACTCGGAAAGAATACTTAAGCAAAACAACCGCGTTCCCATCTAAAAGATTTTAAGTGGTATTTTTGTCTTCAGAGAATTTATTAATCCTTAAATTAGCCAAGAATATACTCATGAACAAGGAGTGGACAAATGCAACCAGAGTGCTCCTTAGAAGTGAGAAAGATGAAACTTTATCCTGCATTGACCACACAATCCTTCTGTGCCGGAAGACACAGTACCTATCGCTCCATCACACTGAGGGTCTCCTCTTTACTGACCCTTTTAGTGATCCTGTGCAAGTCTCCGGGGGGGAAGGGCCTTCATGTTAATATAACCCAAAGTATGTGAGACCAGGTCTATGAACTGTGTTGGGAAAGAACACTGAATATACCATGAACATACAATTCTGCCTTAGAAAAGGTACAGCCAGACTTTTTCTTGGAAGCAGAAACTAGGAAACAGCACAAAGAGCAAAAAAGTCATCTGGACTAAATAAACTTTCTTTCATTCTATTCTGTTCATGCTGGTAAAGGTGGCAATGATAATCTACAAACATCAAAATCAAGGCTCGGTGGGCTGAGTGGGCTGCAGAAAAGAAGAGGGAAAAAACCCCAACAAACAAAAAACAAACCCACAGAAAATCGAGATCTATTAGCTTTACGAAACAAAACACCCAGATGCAGTCTAGTTGATTCTTCTTTATGGCAATACCAGGTCTTACTGAAAACTGTTCTCTAGGGTGTTCTTGACTGTGATCTTTACAGAAACAAGCTGCCCTGTCTTCTACGGTGCCAGTGGGTGGATTCAAACTGCCAACCTTTTAGGTCAGATGTCAGGCACACCATTTCCCCCCCACAGGAATCTGTTAGCTTAACACAACAGGAAATTTTGTTTATATGTCACTAAGTAAACCTTGGTTTAATTTTTCCAATGTAAGGGTGTCTTCTAAGGTACCATAATTAATCCTTTTATAACTTAAATGACAATATAGTTCACTTGTCTGAGTTAAATTTACATCTTTGGTACTAACTGAGCCTACGCAGTTATTTTTAAAATGATACTAACTTTTTTCTTCTGGTCAGGAGTGAGCACTCTCTCCTCCTTCAAAGAGCTGACAAACGAAGAGAAGATTGGAAGGGCAACAGATCTTTCCGTTTTCAAGTATAAGAGTTTCACACTTTCCCACTTCTGAAACAAAGAAAAGAATAAGACATTTATATATATTTGGTCATTTTACACAGACAATTAGTTAATACACCTGCAAAGACTACAGACCTCTGGCAATTTTTCTGAAAGGCCCTTTGCGACAGCAACGACATTCTCAACAACCTGCTGGATCTTCATTCCAGTGTGACCAACACGGATAGTGCTGAAATTCAAAATAGTATGACCCATTATTTATTTATTTATTATTTTTGTATTAATTTTTTACTATTAATTTTAACAAAAATTTACAAAGATTTTGGATTTCCATTCATCCATTATTTCTTAGAAATGCCTTCCCAAAATACAGGATTGGTATAGCAGAGGGGTGGGGAGACACATGCCTAATTCCAAAACTTTTTTCTAAAAAAACATACAAACATCATCATCTCCCTGGTTGGAATGGCCTTCCTGCTGGGCAGTCATGAACCCTTGGGTTCTGTTTTCTCGTGTGTTGTTACCAATGAGTATGCCTAGGCTCATTATCTTAGGTGGAAAGACACAGGAAGGAGGGCTCATATGACAGGTACTACTTCCACACTAGACATCTGAGCCAGCAGGCAAGTTTTCAGACAGTACATTTTAAATATTTTAAATCGCTGCCACAAATGACAGCTATAGCTGTTCTGCACATTTTAATTAATTAAAAAAAAAAAAGGATCATTTTCTTTTGCTTTTCAAGGAGAGGAGCAAATGGGGGGGAGGGGGGAAGGGTTTGTGCGGGGAGAAGGGTGCAACAATGAATGAATGGAATCCCAAAATCTCTGTAGATGTTCATTGAAATGAAAAATAAACAACCTAAATTTTTTTTTAAAAAAAAGGATCATTCGTACGAAGTGTACTAATGCATTTATTTGTTAATTATTCAGTAATACATAAAAAAAAAAGATATAGCATTCCAGATAACATATCAATTGTTTCTTAGTGCGATTTTTCATATTTAACAATTTGGAGCATTTCCGCAAATATTCAGTGTGCATTTTGTCAGGGTATAATAATTTTCACTTCCAAACACAGGACTGACGCTCAATTTCATAAGGCAGTCATAAACAATTGGAAAAAAAAAGGTGTTTCTAATCACGGCCTGCAATTTAAAAGTGTGCGGCAACGTGCTGAGATTTGCCACCGCCTTACTCCCAAAGAGCCAGCTCATGACTTCAATCCCTCTCTCAATCTGCAAAATTACTCTGATCCTGGTGGACATGAAAATTCAGGATCATGAACATTACTGGTTCCATCATTTTCTTACTAACTGCAACTGTCCCATATCAAACAGTAACCAGCAGCCACAGGTGGCTCTGTAAACAACACTGACACAAAGTGGGCTGAAGACAGGCCTCATACACACCTGCAAGAACCGCTTTTAGAGATGTTTAAGACCGTTCCACCAACGCAGTTATTGATCTCTTTTGCTAAATCCTTGGCCAGGAGGTTTACACTTACTGGAACTCTATAAAATACACAGACAGGTTTTAAGACAACAGAAGACATAACACTTATATTCATTTCATCCTGCTGGAATCTGGTCACTGCAAAGACACTTACTTCTTTCTGAGATAGAAATGCTTTCCAATAATTGAAGGTAAAAGCCTCCTAATTCTTGCATCAGTCAGGAAGAGGTCAAAACTACCCAACAGGCGAAGTTTGGCTTCATAGGGCTTATATTCCTTTTTCAAAGTTTGGAGAGAGATAACCTAGAATATATAAGGGAGAAGGACAATCACAAAGTTAAGAAACTGAACAAGATGAAATACCTGATTTTTATCCCACCTTATTCAGATTTTAGCATTTCCCAGAACTGTGCAAGGGAACTCTGACAATGCAGCCTAGAGTTGAGCTGCTAACTCAAAGGCCACACCTCTCTGGTGGTTTGAATCCACCAGCCGCATGGCGGTAGAAAGACAGGCAATTGCCTCCTGTTGGATTTAGAATCTTGGAAACTCCTAGAGGGTCAGCTGTGAGTGGGTTCTTATTTGATGGTGATGAGTCCGAGCCACACATATCAAAACAGGTAAGCCTCTAACTTGAAGACAGTCTTTAAAAGGCACCTCAAAAGAAAGGCCTGGCTAATGCTCCTAAAAGGTCAAAGCCTTGAAACTTCAGGGAGCATAATTCTACTTTGCAGCAGGCTCACCATAAGCTGGAATCATCTTGATGGCCAGCTATCTCGGTATTGTTGATTTACTTAAGTAAAACGCAGGAGTGTCTCTCACATGTCAGACACTATGCGAAATGCTGACCTAGATAAGAGCAGTCCTCAACTAAAGAAACTTCAATTCAGACAGGAAGGAAAGCAATCAATTTTATTATTTTTATTTTATTATTTTTGTGTGCGTGTACCGTCAAATCAGATCTGACTGGTACAGGAGGAGATTGCCCCTCCTTACCCGGCAGAGCATCTGGTGGATTCGAACCGTGCACCTCTGGGACAAACAATTTTAAAATTAAAACCCAAACCCACTGCTGTCAAGTCAACCATAGCCACTATACAGAAACACTGAAAATACAGGGGGACAACAAAGCAGAGCAACCTTTACATAATCTGTCAGAGAGACAAGGTACTAGTAATAAGCCACATTCAGCTTTCAGGTTAGAAAACTTCGACAACTATTCTAGCATAAGCCAACATGAAATAAACACTACTTAAATTCATTAAAAGTTCTGTTACAAGGCAAAACAAAGAAATTGTATTAGTATTATCTTGAAAATACTAATCTGCTTATTACCTGAGAAATGGTTTTAATTTTATGCTTGTTCAAAAGATCCCTATAGAAATGTTCTGTCTTCTCAGCAGTTAAATTGGGCTCGTCCTTGGTAAATAAACAGATTTCTGACAAGTCGGATCGGATAGCATGAGGCAAGGACCTATAAAATGCACAAGGAAGCAAAGCAGCATTATAAACTGTGTGTATGTTCATAATCTGTAGAATATAGTTTAGATGTATTGCTTCAAAACCCATTCATTTTGATATGAAAAACAATATATAAACAGTATATAAAATTTTTAAGTAAACCAGTATAAAAGAAAAATTTTATTTTTTTAAAAAATAAACCTACAACCTCCCTTCATGCTTTTTAAGGAAATACTGTGCCAAAACAAACACGTAAGAACAAATGTAGTTTTCAGTGATTCAGAGAAAAAAGATTTAAGGAAATAGCCACAAATAACCAGGGTCAAAAGACCTTAAGATGATGTCCAAAATACTGCACAAGTAATCAGTATATTTACGTTTATATAAATAAAGCCAGATATATATGACTAACTGCAAGGTCAGTCGTATAAGCCACCAACCGCTCGCTCCGTGGAAGAAAAAGACTGAGATCTGCTCCCAAAACAGCCTAAGAAACTCTATCTACTAGGCAGCTTGAGTCTGATGTATAAAGTTGTGATGAGCTGGAAATGACTTGACCGTACACAACATATATGGTGGTGTTGCTGTTATGGTACAATCAAGTCAGGAAAGATTAATAGCTGACCCTCCAGCAGGTTTTCAGAGGCAATAGAAGTCACGGGAGACTGCCCATCTTTCTCTAACGGCACAGCAGATGGATTTAACCACATGCCTTAGGCTGGCAGCACCAATTATCACTAAGCCCCCAGAGCTCCTTTGACACTGGAGTAACTCAGTTTCACCAGGGCAGTCCTGGTTTAGAACTTTATTTTCTGGAAAACTCTTGAATCAACAATATAACTTTAAGAACTGAACTGAAAACATGGGAGCAAATGAAGAGGTACCCCAAGCATGTGTGATGTCTTATAGGAAGAGGCCAACATGTTCCCTAGGCCTGTATGTTCTGGGAAAACATAATTGTCTTTAAAAAGAGGCATCAATTCAAAGCAGAATGACTTGTGAGAGAAGAGGCTGAATGCTAGCTGTAGAAATCCCCAGAAGTAAAATTCTAGAAAGATGAAAAGCTTTCAGAAAAACTGTATGAGCAAAGGTATAGGAAAAAAAAATGTACAGGGAATGCAAAAAGTTGAAGTAGGTGCGTAAGGATCAGTTAAGAGAAAAGCTGAGATTCAAAGCGAGAAACTCAGGAGCAGGTCCAAGTTCTCACAAATACAAAGAAATTCTCCTAAAATACAGAAACACTTTATTCTCTGTCTTGTGTAAAACTCCATTTTGGATTCAGTATCATTGCTTAGGTTAACAAGCTGCCAACGCTCCAGAATGCTGATGAATTTTCTAAGAAACTTTAACATGTCTGTACTCCTATGATCCTTTTAGATACAATTATTTGATGTTTTCCGTTTCTAAAAGTTACCTCCAGAAACTAAGTTGGAATGGTTAAAGTTACATATAACGACAAAGCAGAAGAAAAGAACAAATAGAGAAATTCAGAACCTACAATCTGGCCCGCAATTCCTTCTTTGGGATCTTCCATAAAACCACCATTAAAAAGAAAGGTTCCTTTTCATTCAAAAGCACTTCATTGGCTTTTTTCCTTGACTGTACATGTGCCAACAGAGCTTTCACTGCCTTTTTAACCTGGAAAGTGGAAGAACAGAAAAGAAAGTTAAATTTCAATTTAATTTGACATTACGCCTCTCCCTGTTTCTTTTAAATCTTCTATTTTAAGAGGCAACCTCTACAGTCTTATCTATTCTCACTGTCCTTGGGTTGATCCCAACTCCTAACAGACCAGACTACAAAAAGGACTACGAGGGTTCTCAGCTATAAATCTTTAAGGGAGCAGTCTACCTCATTTTTCTTCCGCTGAGTGGTTGCTGGTTCCAAACCACTGGCCTTCTGGTTAACACCACCTGGGCTCCTCCCCATACCTACTGTTGGGTACCACTAGGGTGTCACTGATCCTCCAGCTGGTTTTCAGAAGGAGTACATCACACAGGAGACTCCCATGCTTTCTCTTGTCGAATGGTTTGGTGGATTCAAACTTCGTATCTTTGCGTTGACAGCCCAATTCCTTACCACTATACTGCCTGAACTCCTCAACCAACTCAATTAGGAACTGTCAAGGTGTACTCAAGAGACATGTAAAAATTAAAGAGAAACAGCCTAAATATTGGCCTCCAGCGTCTATCTACACAAGGGAACCACTGCTACGTAAGACACTGGGTCTTATGGAGGACACTGCGCTCAACGATGAAGTTGGTAATGCTAATAAATGTAATAATAGTAATAATAATAATAATAATAATATAAACATCAACTAGCGTTTATTGTGTGCTTAGTACACACCTGGACCCTGGCTAACGCCCTTTATTTTCATTACCTTATGTGATCTAGTGAGTGGAGGGCACGAGACTCCCTTTTAAACGGGAATTAATGGTGCTAGCAAAAATAAGCGGCTTGATCAAACACAAGCAATCGTTTTATTTTAAAAGGGAGCCAAGTCACATGATGAGAAAGCCAATGCCCACCACACACACAAAAAGAAGTCACGCTGCGGCTGCCGAAGAGCTGCGATCCCCCCCCAAAGCCCGAAGCATCTATTGAGGTGGGCCAAGGCCGCAGTCGTTCAACAACAAGCATCATTGCATCTCACACGGGCCCTGGCCACCCCACTTCCTAACTACCCTTCCCAGAGGTCGCTTGCCTGTATTTTGTTCAGCTCCAGCCGCGACTCTGCTTCAGCCGCGACCACTGGAGTCGAGGGCAAAGTTGAAGGTGCCGCGGAGACCTCCATTCCGTCCCACCTCGTGCAAAAAAAAAAGCGCGTGCGGAAAGCGCGTGCGGAACATACAGCTCTCTCCTACTGCGCACGCGTGAAATAGGGCCCCACAGCCGGATGTTAAGCGGCGTCAACCTGACCTTTGACGTCATTTCCGGGAAGACCGGCCCTTCGGTCCCTAGGCGCCTAACTTCAGAGGTGGGGCTTTGTAGAACCGACCGAATTCGTTCTCCAGTTGCAGTCGGAGCGGTTTCCTTGGGACACCGTTTTCTCTTTCCGTTTCTGCCTCTGGTTTCTAGGAGGCGCGGGAAGCAGCCTTGCCGACTTTTCCCTCTCACTGACTCTAATGCTCTTCGAGACGGCGAGGAGTGCTGTCAGCCGACGCCGTGGGGTCCACTCGTTCGCCCCGGGGACCCGACTGCGAGGCCCGCGGGGCCGTGGGGAGGCCTCGGGCTCGCGTGGGAGCCATGGCGCCACCACTCACCTCCTGTGTGACTTCGGGCGAACTGCTTAAGGCTTCCCGCGCTATCGTCTCCCCTGGACGCGGGGCTGCGTTCGCGGGGGGGCGCCGGACGCGTCCTCGCTCAGCGCTGTGACTCTCAGCAGCTTCCGATCGGGAGGTAAGAGGGGTCCGTGGGTGTGGAGACGGGAATACGGGCAGCGTGGAGAAGGGTGGAAGTCTTCTTCCCCGCTCAACCACCAGGGTCCCTGCGCCCGGAGATAACCACCGAGAAGCGATGTAAGAAAGACGGAAAAAATGAGAGTAGGAGGCTTTCCAAGTCTACTGTTTGCAAAAGTGCCCCTTTCCTATATTTCCAGACCAGGAATGAGTGTCCTGCTGCTAATCTCGAAGTTGCCTTTAAGTGCCTTTTAGGAGAAATGTGCGTAAAAATCTTGGGCACCTCCAAACTTTTATCTGTCACAGTCTGTCTTGCAAAATGCAGCCGGGTTTCGCACGCGGTTATTAGATATTAAGCCAGGTTTGATGTCTCACATTTTCTGTTTTGGGGGAAGGTGTCAGATGCCTGCCAGGTGCCCTTCTGTTTCCTTGAAGGGTTTTGACAGTCAGACTTCCAGGCATGAATACAAGAAGGTGTTTGCAAGGCAGACGGGAGCGGATCGGGAGAAAGGAATGAGCTGAATGAAGCCAGAGTGATCGAGCCATTATCAAGTGGAGGCCCTGGAGAAATCGTAGAGACACAGATTGTTTTATTTTTTATTTTTTTTAATTGTAAACATATCCTTCACTCATTGCCATCCAGTCGGAGGTGACCCCTCGCTGAGCCTCCAGCGGGTTTTCAGAGGGTGTAAATCACACTGGAGAAGAGTGATTGCCCTGCCTTCCTTCATGGAGCTGTTGGGATTCGAACTGTCAGCCTTAGCGTCTGGGCTAGCAGCGCAACTGCCTACAGTCTATGTCACCAGAGCTCTCAAGTAAATGTGTAACATTTATGATATATATTAATATATTTATATTTATTATATTTCAACGGTCACCAGTAAGCCAAATTTCTTCATTATCCGTATGAGAATTTCCGTTTTCCTTCTGATGCAAGGCTTTTAAATTGATGAGAGGGGAGAAAAGGTTTTAGAGTAAGATGGGTGATAGAAAAAAATGAAACTTTAGTACTTAAAATATATCATTGCTAAGGTAAATGAGCGAAATGAAGGTAGTTTTCGTGTCTCAAGAAATGTCTTACAGTACTAATTATTTTTATTATCAAGAAAGACTTGTCTATAATAGCATTTTACAATGTCAGTAGCCCAATTCTTGACTAAACTCCTAAACCAGAAATTTGTAAAAAGATAGAAATAGCCTAACTTGCCAATTAAGCTTGTATAAAAAAAACAAAGCATTTTAACCATTTAACTCTTATTCTTCTGAATTTGGATGCAGTCTTCATTGTTTCCATTGAAGTGAAATGAATTGTTAAAAAGGACAATAGGGAGGTGGAATGAATTAAGAAAATGTACAGGTAACATTTAATGTAACCCAATGCACGTTTGGAGGGAGATGTTTTGCCTAATTAATAAAAGAGGATTATGCCACAAATAATAGTAATTGAGTAACAGATATACTTGCCAGATGCAGGGTTTCTTATTTCTAGCAGAAAAATAGGAAAAACACAAACATTTCATGCAAGTAGTGTGGCCACACAGTCATAAGAAAATAATGTTACAAGAAAAACTAGCATGTTGAATTAGTGTTAGAGAAAAAAAAAATACAAGGAAAATGAAAGTGGATGCCATAACTGTACATGAAGTTAAAATTTTTACCTAGAGCATATTTATGGTCATAATTGTTGTTGTTAATTGCCGTCAAGTCGAGCGCAACTCATAGCGACTCTATGAACAAAAGACATTGCCTTTCCATAACTATTGTCATTTCTCCAAGTTCATAGAGTTAAGAGAGGCATGTGATTTAGGAAGTGGATGCCACTCCTGCTCCCAAACCTGTTTAACAGCTGGAGCTCCACCAAACACTGTTTACATTGGAAAACCCTTCTGGTATTTTATACCCCAGTGGTAAAAGGTTCAGCATCACAGCAACCCAGGTTACTTCAGACTGCACAGTGGCAAAGAGTGATGTACAAAGAGGAAGAGTGTTCCTCCAGATATACCAATACTAGTTTCACTTAGCAGTGGTTAAGTGTCGTCAAGTAGAATACGACTTGAGAATAAGTTTTGCATAAAAGACCTAAACTCTGTTCTATAACTACCATAATTTCTGTACATTTATAGAATTTAGAGAGTTTGTAGAATTTACAGAATTTGTAGAGTTTCCAGAGGAAGTGGATGCCACTCCTGCTTCCTATTATAAATCAATATGGAAGCTCATCCAAACACTGTACATAATGGGTAACCATTATGGTATTTGACAAGACTACGGAACAGTGTGCAACATCACAGCAACACCAAGTTGTTCAGTTCAGCAAATAGACAAGATTGTTGTCATTCAAGGAATATTCATTTGAAAATTAATAAATGGTCATAAAGGATAAAAAATAATCTTGCCAGCAATGAGAGTACCTCCATTCTCATTGTCAAGTGGATTCAACGCACAGCCACCTTCCCATTAGGTTTCCAGGGTTGTAAATCAGTGTGGGAGGAGATTGCTCATAGTTCTCCCCTGGGGCAGTTAGTGGAATTAAACTGTCAGCCTTTTGGTTAGCAGTTCAAAATGTTACGCACTGCACCACATTCTTCGTTGTCAGAATCAACTCATAGCTGATCCTCCACTAAGTTATCAGAGCCAGAGTAGCTGGTGGATTTTAACTGCCTGCCTTTGAGTTAGTGTAATTCCTTACCCACTAAGCAAACATAACCTCCTACTACACCACCAAGGCAGTGCTATAATAATGAGAGTGCTATAGTAACATAGCACCTTTTATCCCACGTTCACATGGGTTTCATTAGCTGTCTCATTTCAGTTTCTTTTAAATTTGGGATACTTTAATTTGGTTATCAGTCATTTCAGATTGGAAGATACATCGTTGCTCATCACAAAGCTACAGCCAAGGTATGGATGCACTCTTCCCGAAAGTGTGTTGATAGGAAATGCTGCAGTTTCTAAAACTGGTTGCATATGTGAAGAACTATATAATAGTTGTCAAACCTACAAAAACGATCCTAAGAGCACTTCATTTGGTAGAATCAGAGAAAAAATGACCATCAATGAACTGACACCGTGACTGCAAGTGGGCACTGCATGTCTGTGAGCTCAGTGTAGGACCAGACAATGCTTCCTTGTCTTGTATAGCATCACTGGGAGTTGGAACCAGTCAGTAGCATCTAACAACATCCTGTATGTGGTTTGATGCCTAAATACAACAAAGTTCTTTAATCAGACTGTATCAAGTACAGATGTGGCAGAGTTAGAGATCAGAACTAATTGTGCTTAAGTGCTAGAGAAAATAATTGAAGTTATCAAGGATTTGATTTTATTGGGATGGAGAGTCACCAACCAAGGAAGTAGTAGTCAAATGATATGACACATTACATTGTGCAAATGTGTTCTGAAAAAACCCTGTTAAGGGTGTCCTTAAGACTGGGTTTCTCTTTTCGAGTCAATTTTAAGAACTTTTGTTCTCACAGAAATCATCCATTTTATCAAGTATGTATTATTTGTATGCACCATTGAATTAATTGCAGTTCAGCAACCCCATATGATAGCCTGAAATGGCCCCATCGTTTCCTAGGTTGGAAAATTGATGCCTTTGATTAGTAGCCAAGTAATTTACCACCATTCCATCAGGACTCTAAGAATTGATGCCTTTGAATTGTGGTGTTGACTGGTATACCAAGAACAGCAAAATGCAAATCATGCTTGAAAGAAGTATAGCCAGAATGCTGCTTAGAAGTTCGAGTAGTGAGACTCAAGAGAGACCATTAAAAGGAATGTATTTGCTGCCATTAATTTAAGCAGCTGTTGCTATTCACTCTAAGCCATGCATGTCCAGGCCTGAGGTGCCCCTGGATAGATGTGAACTACCAGGCTTTGAGTTGGCCACTGAGCACATGAATCACTTGTACCAAGAGTTCCACAACAGTGTATATAACCTGTTTATTATTTCACTTTATTTGCTCAGTAAAGAAGAGCAAATACTGGTCTCTTTTTAAAAAATCCAGAATATAGAATCCAGACTCATAGTTCTTGATGTTCCCTAACTCTGCTATTCTAATAAAACCACATATTGTGATATTTATTAATCAGTTTGATTTTCCTAGAAGGCTGCTGTTTTTGTCATTGTACAGTTATACACCCAAGTCTTGCATACCATATGCAAGCAGATTACAAGTTTGAAAGTTCTTTATGTAACAACTTACTGGATCCATCGAACAAATCTGCTTGTAGACAGTTCTCGTACTTAATACAAAAAGAATGTTATGTACAGGAAATGGAGATACACTGATGAAATAAATACAGCTAATTATAAAGACAGACAAATCTTTCAAAAGGGAAGATGATAATTTTTATTGTTATTACAAAAGCTTTATTATTTCAGTCATTTGAA